CTGACATACAGACATCTGCGAGAACCCTGGTGTACAGCCGCTGCTTTTCCGGATTGAGAAGTCACAGCTGCGATGGTTGGGTACGTCTTGCGAATGCTTACAGAAATAAAGGCGAAACCGCTACTAGTTGCCCAACCGAACGGCGGAAATAGCCAGGAATGGCCTAGCATAATCTGATGCATATGCCGCAAAGGACTGTGATCCAGAATCAGCTTATTTTTTGGCGAAGTTCAAACACCAGCACAGGATTGGGAACGTTGCAAAGAGAGTTTGATGTTTCTCTCTCCGATAACCCAAAGGATAGGCGATCTTCGTAACTGACTGACTGGCTGAAAACTTGTGAGTCTGTCGATGGGCAGAATTTTGCTTACCACGCAGTTGAGGTCCTGCGGTAAGAACTCTCGACGTCTCGAAGAGTAGAGCTTCTGAATAATAACTTTTAAAAAACATATAGCAAGCGACTTCGAAACTAATTAATATTTCAACAGGAGGTCGTAATTGGACTTCGGCTCGACGTTGGTGCCAAGCTATTCGATTAACTGGCAAAATTAGAGACTGACGAAAATCGAAGACAACTTAGTGCTGTGAACGACGTTAGTGAAGTGAACGTGATGCATTACCAACTTTTCTAAAACAGTTGCTCTGAGGCGAAAACATTCACCTCCCGTTTATTGGAAAATATGTGTGGCAAGAAAGAACGACTTCCGGAAAGTTGTCATTTGTTTCTAAAATGCCTCAGCAGCCGAATGAAATGATTCTGCCATATACCAGAAAATCTATGCGAAGAACTGTTTACAAGAACGACAGTATGCTTTTCTGAGTTGCCTTCTCTTAACGTTAGAAAAAAGAATATTGGAGGCCTGAAATCTCGCTTGGTGAACAAATTTATTAGTCTAAATTTCCTGAGTCTTGCCAAGTTGCAATTCCTGGGAGTGGACTAATACACTCAAGTTGCAAATTGAATATTTAATTCTGTTGAAACAGATCTGTTTGAAGAATTGAAAAAATTCTGTTGTGCTTAACAGCTGCTGTCTCTTTCTGTTCATGTTATTACTCATAAAGAAATCATAAGTTATTAGTACACTCAACTACGTCAAATAACGCATGACTCTTCCAAGACCAGATTTTATGGCATTGCCAGTGCTAAAATGTTCCTGGAGTCCTGGTT